CCCTGGCGATTACAAAGGAGGAGTGGAGAGTCAACGCACCCGGCCTCCTCCACGAACGCGACACGCATCCCACATGGTCGTGTCTCTCGCTAAATCCAGATCTAGTGATGGTGCAACAACTCAACAGAGACGGGGCTCAACAGCCGGCACAACAACGGGGACGTAGAGAGAGTTTGTGGGGAGGAGCGAAGGTGGACGGGAAGGGCGCGGCATTGCAGAGGAGGCGGGGGCGATGGCAGAGGCAGTGAAGATCCGGGACACTCGGCGGCGGCACACAGAAAAAGGTCGGATTCAGGAAGTTGGAGAGGGCCAGCAAGAACACCGGCACCATAGGCCTCACACGCCAGAGTCAAAAGCCCATTTACAACCGACCATAGGCTAAACAGGGCCCATATACTGCCTAAAACACCCCTGATCAACCAGAGGCTCCCATTTCGTGGGAGCTTAGTATCTGTAGCGACTAGCTACGACTGTTCTTGTAGCTGCTTCGTGGGACCTGTGCTGAGTTACACTAGCATGAGATTTAACGGTGGCCGCAGCAATTGCGGTTTTATTATTTAAAAGGTTTAAGTATTACACCCAGCCTCTGCATTACTAAGATGCACACAGGCAACAAAGTTCTCACGATAAGACAAAATAAAAGAAGAAGGCGAAATACAAAGATGAATATCTGTATGACACCTAAATCGAAGGAGGCCCAATCCTAAGATCATGTTGCCACCCATGTTAGGTAAAACTATCCTTCGCCGCAGCCTCCAATCGTGTACACATCTCTGTAAACAGGTCTCGATTCTCCACTCGCTGTAGAGAGGACCATAAATGAAGCGTCCCGGTACATCTACAGATAACCTGCATAAGGAAAGTATTTTTATCATTAAAAACCTTATCATTTCTACATAGCCAAAGTGACCAAATCACGGCAAGTGCTCCCATCCTAAGAAGAATTCTAAACTTGTGATCAATCTCATGTAACCAGTTGCCAAATATATTAGCAACACTACACGGAGGATACAAGCCGGAATCTATCTGGATGACTAACCATATAGAACGAGCCAATTTACAATGGAAGAACAAATGTTTTATTGTCTCATCATGCGAACAAAATACACATTGCATACTTCAATGTCAATTCCTCTTAATAAGGTTATCTTTAGTAATAATGACTCCGCGACCAAAATACCACACAAAGATTTTATTCTTAAGAGGTATCTTCATCTTCCAGATCTTCTTATTATTATCAACTGGCACATCGGATTGGATCAGAGCTCTATACATAGACTCCACTGAACTGCCCATTCCCATGTAGGTTCCAACGAAAGACATTGGACCCTTGTGACAACTGTACCGTGGTTAACCGTTGGAGCAGTATTTTCCACGATTGGAGTCTAGGTCCCAATTAAATCCCTTTTGAACGTCACATTTGACGAAATTGATTCCAAAACCTTGGCAATAGCATCACCCTTGTGACGCACAATATTGTACAGAGCTAGATATTGCGCCCGGAGAGTAGCATCCTTAATTGAGAAGGAACCATAGCAGAAGAAATATTTCTTCGTTGCCATTAGTCCGGCCCAAAAATGAGAGTCCCCGGGCTTCCAGTATACTTGGGATACCGCCTTAGAACCCACATATTTTCTTTTTGGCAGGGTTTGTCATACACCATCTTTCGTCAACAACTTAAACAACCATTTGCCGAGGAGGGCCCTATTCTTAACCTCAAGGTCATGAATGTCCAAACTGCCTTGGTCCTTGGGACGGCAAACCACACTCCATTTAGCCAGCCGATATTTTTTCTCTCGCTGTCTCCTTGCCAAAAGAATCTCAATCGGAAGTAATCCAATCTATGTAATACTCCTTTCGGCAATTGGAAGAAGGAAATCATATATAGTACCATGTTACTTAGTACTGAATTTATGAGGACCAACCTTCCACCCAGAGATAGAAATTTACCTTTCCAACTACTAAGTCTTTTTTTGTAGGCTCTCCTCAACATGTTTCCATTCAGCATTTGTGAGTCTCTGACAATGCATCAGTATCCCCAAATAAGTGATCGGAAACTGGCCCAATCCGCATTCGAATAGCTCAGCATACAGATGGGCTTCGTCTTGAGCCTCGCCAAAACAAAGCAGTTCACTTTTATGGAAATTGATCTTAAGCCCTGAGAGTTGCTCGAATGCTGATAAAATTAATTTCAGATTTCTTACTTTCTCGAGGTCATGATCCATAAAGAGAATCGTGTCATCGACAT